TGGGTTATTTCAAAAGAATACACTTGAAGTAATACTAATAGAGAAATAATAAAAGGTTATGAAATCTCAGCGATATTAACCGAAGTTTTTAAACAGTACAGACGAGTAGATGACTGAAACAATCCTTTTCAGGTTGTCGGTATATTCGCTGGCTTCGGTCTTCTGCTGCTAGTCGCGAGCCCATTACTGCTGCTTGCTGCACCATGCATCGTCTGCTGTAAATGCAGGTTGGTATAAAATATCAATAAATATATCGATCGAGCGAGCGAGCGAATCATTTGTAAATCTTTAAAGTAAATTCATAAAAATTCAAGATTAAAAATTAATCAATAATTATTTTGAGACTCATCATCAACACCCGTGTGGTGACGGATTAAGAATACGAAGTGTCAAACAGCACTGCAAAGAGAAGAAAAACTTGAAACACAGCCTATAGGCCAACCCGTCAGGCCGTACAGCTGTTGATGATGATTTAACAGCCTTTAGTAGTTCACTGCTGAACATGGGCCTTTGCTTAGAAATGAGGTTTTGGCCTACTGTACTCCCTGGCCGGACAGTTTTTAATTTGAGACTACCACGAATTATTATTTTATATTATTATTTGTTAAATGTAAAAACAATAGAATTAACAGTTAACCTTTTTTTAGTTATCGATTAATTAACCATTACAATTAACTATTAATTATTATTTTCAAATTAATAGAAACTATAAGTAATAAAAAGATTTTTATTTTGATAAACACAGTTCACATTTTACAAAACCATTTTAATTGTGGTGTGTGAACAGTGCATCTGACAAATTTTAAGCGAAATACATTTATTGTATAGTGCAACTAATACACCTTAATATTAAGTAATTAAATTTTAAAGTACGATTAATAATATATTTTTTTTTATTAATATCAGCAATGTATAAGTAAAGCGAAAAAGCTTAGCCTTTTCGCCAGGTTTTTAGGTAGGTGGTAGGTAGATTGTCAATCCTGAGAACAATTAATTAAATGCCATACCTAAATGTTTTCAGACTATGCAACCCAAGTACGAAGAATCTCGAGGAGGTTGACGAGATCGACAGCATCACGCCGGGAAGAGATGACGACGACAACGACATCACTCGCGCCGACAGGTACCTCTCCGACTGACGCCCAACCAGATATTAATCAGGAAAGGACATATGCTGCCGTCGTATGTGACTATCTAAGAGGAATATAGTCTTCGAGATAGATGGACTGCAATATTTTCATGACCAGACTAACAACAGTTAGCTTCAGAACTCTGTAGTTGGAAAGAAGACTTTGATTCTTCTCCTTATACACATCTAAGCTCTTGTTAATCTGTAATTCAGCATCCTAGATACCAGAAAAAGCAAGTTCCTATTTTCTGTTCAAAATAACTTGCTGGATCTCGTTTAGAAATTCCAGAAATTATATCTGTTTTTAGTCCCAAATGGCTTATTGAAAGATATTCAATGTCCACAATATTGGGCATATACGGCTGGCAAAATTCGACTTACGATTCCGTAGAATTTGTAGATGATAAATTGTAGAAATGTAAAATTTTGAGTGACGGAAATTGGCCAAAAAAAATGTGACATGTGATAAAAATGGACGAAAACTATTTCGTACGAAATAGTTACATTTGGTTATGCAATATAGACATTGGCCTAAAGATGGCTAGACACGAAGTGATAAATAATTGACTGTAAAATTTTATTGTTTTAAGATTGTATATCTGCTGAAAAATACGACACTATTAATAATTTAAATGGCTGCACTGTGCCTAACAGTTTAGTGAGTATAATTATATATTAGCTATAAATAATTTATCAGCGTACTGTGTATTTTGAATGAATAAAATGGTCACGCGCAAAAACTAATATTAACATCGATGTTTCTGTAAAATTGCATAATTATATTTGTTGCCGTGACAGCTGACATCATTGGTGTAATTTAGTCGTTATTTGTAATTATAAACGATCGAGTATTGAAAGTTTAAACTAAAATAAACATTTTAGATTACAAATCTCATCTCCAGCATTGACAACCGTAAAGCTTTCGTAGGATATGATATTTTCAATCGAGAGCATTTGTATTACTTTAGAAATTATTTTTGGCCAGTCAACAATTTAAAACATCATTATAAGTAAAACAGTTTCCAAATTCGGTATTTAAGATTGTCGATTATATTTTGTAAATTAATTAAGGTGTAAATTTTTCATTTTATTAATTTAAATTCACGAAATAAATACAAAAATCATAATTAACAAGAGTCTTAAATTGACTGTGACTTAATTTTATTGACAATTGTTTATTTATCTGTGGAGTCTATACTTACATGAACTTCAATAAATTGCTGTAATATACAGATTAATATTCATCTATGTGTGATCTCATAGAAATAAAAACAACTTAAAATATTTATGACAGCCAGAACCTTGTATGATTATCGCCATTTTGTAAATATTGTGCTGCCATCTATAAGTGATTGTATTCTTGTTATTACTTTCTCATTCAAAAAAAGTGCAACAGTAATTGTTAAATTGTGTTAAAAGTGTGTTATGTGTTTTAAACTAATGGCAATAGTGATAAATACTGACTTAGACAAAGGTATAACTGTACTTAGTTGCAAATTAATTAACAAAGATGTCAACAAAAATCCAATTTCATTTCCCCATCGTTCAACAATGTCTTTTAAATTTCATTAAATGCATCATGTTTTCATTGAAAAATGTAAATACCATTTAAAAAAACTAACAAAATGATTTATTAAATACAATTTGCAATATGCTTAAATTCGTTAAAAAATGCTTATAACTGATAATTGTTTTGTAAAATAGAAGAGAAGACATACTTTAAATAAAAAATTGTTTTGCAACGGATTATTATTAAGGGGCTTATTGTTTTCATATGTATGTATTTAGTTACTATTTAATTAATAGAAACATAAACGATTAGCTCATTAGCATAAGATGAAACAATAAATTGAAATCATTGTGAACGAAAGATGTAACGAAAGAAAGTGTAACTGCAATGCAGTGTGTCAATGCGTGAATACAAATATATATTTTATTTTTTACACATTGGAATCCAATATTGAAAATTGTTTTAGGAAGGTGGAACAAAGCATTATTCTAATCTAATCGCTACAAACGCCTTTACAGTGCACGGATCCTGTTATGTGAACGGGAGAGATTTCGCATGATATTTAGTCAAGACCAAGCAGCGGGTAGTACTAAAATCTCCTCGCCCGGGTGTTCCACTTCAACCCATGCACCGATAGCACTTGATAAATCAGTTGAACAAAAATGATTCACAAGTATGTGATCACGAGAGACCAATATTGTAAAAAGACGTTCATGATACATATTTTATATGATACTAGCTCCGCTTCACAACACAGCGTATTAACTTATTACGTAGTATGTTAAATATTTATGAGTTTTAATGTAAATAAGAAGTAATATTGTACTTAATTTTGTAGTCGAGGGTCGGTGATGTCGTATCTTCTCTGTATTATAAAAATTGTCTAGGAACTGTATGTGACAATTAAATTTCTCTACGATATATTAAGGCGACCGGATTGTAAAATATATACGGATGTAACAGAGAACATATTTTTAACTTGACTAGATGTATTTTCTTAAACTGATATGTGTGGGACTCCATCGATCCTTCGTAGCTTGTTTTAGCAAGCTAGTTAAAGCATTTGTAGATTTAATCAAAAATTGTCAGTAGGTGAATTAGACTTACTAAGTGTAAAGGTGATTGTACAATTGCAAAGTGAAATGTGTTAGATTAAATTTTAACAAATGCGCTCGAAAAAAGATGCTAACAAAATTGTTTAAAAAATGTAAGTGTACAATACCCTTTACTTTATTGTATCTCATTAAGTTGATTGTAAAATGACTTGTCTATGGTATTGAAAGACTTTCATTTTTATTTCTATTTTACTGTTTGTGGTAGGTGCAAATATAGGTTAGGATTTAGTGATATTGGCTGGTCAAAATAGTTGAACACAAACATACAATATTTGCATTTACCATTAAATAAAGTCAGGATATTGTAAATAAAAGAAATTTATTTTTTGTTATTGATTGTACTTCTTTATTTTGTGTTGAGACGAACGTATTTCCGTTACTATAATTATAAACGATTAATAAAGATTTTTCTGATAAATCTTAATGTTTTGTTTAATTTTAAAGTAGACCCGTATTGATATTGTTACTATCTCTAGTAAACCAGAAAGCCAATTCTCGTAATAAAAGTTCGGTTAATATACAGTTCCCATCAACTCTCGATCTCGCAACTGTCATAAAAGGTATTTTAGTAACAAAATAGTAAAGTATTACAAATACTAGCAGATTACCAATTTAATTTTTTGTCACAATTCGATATAATCACATTACAGTCAACGTTGGTTTAAAACCTTACTACGAAAATACCTTTTATGATAGTTGTGGGATCGAGTGTTGATGGGAATTGAATTTTGACCTAACTTACGAGAATTGGTCTTCAGTGCAGAGGGAACTAAACCTTCATCCAGGATAAGAATTTACGTTCTTGTGACTCAATAAGAAGGTATCTATAAGAATATATGTATAGGCTACAAGGGCCACTACCCTTTCGCTTTTTATAATAATAATTTGACACGATAATTTGCAACGGCTGGCGACCGTTGGATCCTAAAGTAGGCAACGACTGGGCTATGGCAAACAGACTGCTGATAAACCTAATATTTTATGTATACGCACAACTTTTTCACTGCATTTCATTGAGTGAGAGAGATTACCAGAGGTTCAACCCCCCCTCCCTGCCCCCTAATTTTAGAGGGCTGCTCAAAGGCAGCACACTGGGGGCTCTTGAGGAACTATTTCGTCAGATGACCTATTTGCCCCTAAACCATAAAATTGGAGATTAATAACAAGCATATAGACTGATAATAAAAACAAATGTTCATTTCACTAGACCTATATTTACAATAAATACAAAATACCCATACATTTCTTAAAACTTTCTCTTTAATCCAGCAGTACAATCAAACAGCAAACCGTTTTTAAATTCCCCTCTCATATCCAACATATAGTGCATTAATTTATTCTTAATTTTTAATGGCAGCTGTACTTTTGCAGCGTTTCTAGTTTCTTTACAACAGACATTTTCTATAGGCACTCTAAACATACGATTTTTACCATACGGTGTGTATGACACAATAGTCAAGTGCTTGCCACCTTTATTCAGAATTAGATAGCGGACTGAGCGTAGGGTATACATCCATATCATGAAGAGAGAGCCACTGCCTGTAACATAAAAAACATATAACAATATTATTACTTTTAGGTAATCTTATGATCTGGTGAAGGTTGAGGTAAGCCATTGATAGCAGGCAGCCTAAGACCCTCAGAAATCGTAATAGTGGCTTTTTATTACGATTTCTGTGTTGAGGCTAGCCTTGGGGGAAGCCAATGTCCTATGTAACGTGTGGATGTCTTTTGGCTGAAATAATGATGAGGATTACTTTTAGACTCCCTTAAATGTTTCTCAATGTTCATGTACTGTAACTCTCAATGTATATATTAATGATCAAGCTCATCCAGTGCTACTCCTAATTTTGGGGTTGGCTTAATGTGTAATATTACAAAAGGGCTGGGGCTTTTATGGCCGGCTGCCTGCCCAACCCCTCTTTTGGAATATAATCATTTGCAGATGGGACACAGGAGAAAATTGCTAGCAGGAGCTAGCTAGGAGCAAGGGAGCTAAGGTAAAATTGTTATGTGTTGTTAAGTTTTGAATATAGGACTGACATTGCAGTAAGCCCAACAGGCGAGGGTTATGTATTTGTATATTCCTCTTATTATTGGAGGGGGCACTAGAAAATGAATGTCAAGTGTCAACAGATCAGATACATGTGTCTAATATCTGTATAGATGGAGTAAACTATAAATCAACATTTCACCAGCAATATTTACGTTCAATATTTAATTAGAGAATAACTTGCCCTAATGGTTGGACCAAATAGGTATTACTCTTTTCTTGTATTTACGATTTGTAAGGGCTCCTAGAATTAACTAACTGCAATAATGCATTGAAATGTTAGACGCAGACAGCTGTCAAAATATAATAACAATTACTACATGTACTTTCGATATTATCCAATAACTGCATAAACTAGATTTTAATGACAAATGCCTTCACTTGCAAATGAAATTATACCTTTGATGGAGGTAAATAAGCTCAAAAAATTATGTTTTAAAGCGTTAACATGTGCAAATTCGAACATTTAGAAGTACTTTAACCTCTGTGTCATTTAACTTACACTTACCTATCAACACGGAGACAGCTCCTAAAGTATTCCTATACTTATTTTCTCCAAGATTTATTCGTCTGTACCATGGCGTGTCGTCGTCAATTTTAGATTTATCAACAGGCGCATCTCTCAATGTAGTAAACGCAAAAAGCCCTAAATACGTCCAAAATCCATACTGAAGTATGGCAAATAAGTTCATGTACACGAAAAATTTAGGATTTTCGTACTTAAACAATATTACGTCTTTTATAACGTTCGTATTCACATCATGAATCGTTTTAGTTGTAACAGAACTGTAGGTAGCCGGTTTTATGTTATTGATACACGTTTTACACTTGGTAGGTATTTGTAAAGCTACCAGACGTCTTACTGCCATTGAGGCATACGATAATAGCGACATTTTATTTTGTTATACTATTTGATAATACAGGGCTCGTTTTCTTGTTTTCTATAAACATAACCTGCAAAAAAAACTGTCAGGAAATTTAATGACAGGACAACACCATAGATAGACCAATTTAGAAACCGGATGAATTAAAAAAAACAAAAGACATGTTTTTTTAAATGTTGGAGGGGGCAGACGAGCAGATGGAAAGTGACCATCGCCGCCCATGAACGTCTGCAACTCAGGAGTCACAAACGCGTTGACGGCCTTTTAGGAAGGAGTACGCTCATTATCCTCTCGAGCGCTGTTGCGGCCCCTCAGAATACGCGGGGCAGCCCAGACATCCACGCCCATGTTGTTGTCTATTGAGAATATTTGAGAAGGTATTTTGAATAGCGAGAATTGAGTATAATATGTATGAGTGATCAGAGTAGAATAGAGCCTTGAATTGAGAATTGAGATCACTGCAAGCCAAGATTTTGTACTTTGAAATTGATGTGCAGAAGAAGGAATATAGATTTACAATAGCCGCATTATTAGATAGAGGAATGACACAGTATCACATTTAAGAGGATCAGACGTAAAAGGCAGATCAAAAGTAACCGGCACCGTCAGGATAGATGCTAGTAAAAGAAACTAGTGAGTGTGGAAGCCTATCATATCAGTATCACTAGCATTTTGCTTTGAACGTAGGACATTGACAATGAACTTAGGATCGAGTTACGTTCACTATGCTTTGACTCTTCAAATTGACGCTTTGTTCTCTTCAAATTATATTATTGTTTTATTTTATCTTTTCATACTGTCATTATATAAAAATCATTAAATTTCCTATTTTTTTTATGATATGATTCATTTACTTGTGAATTAATATTAATTACTTTGACAGATCGAGCTTACGGGGCTTTATATGTATCTTTATCTAAGGCGTGGGGATACTAAATATGGTAACAATTGAGGCTGAGTCACAATTACTGAATGATTTAGCTTTTAAATGATCAATCCGTTATAGCATATACATATTAATGGATATAGTGATATATGTGTCACTTGGAATAGGTACTCGCCCACCACACTTCATTACATGTTACATAATATAGTATATACTATCACTTAGGGTTGCGCATTATATCTTTCACATAAAAAGGAAATATTTATCTCTTTTTAAAAGTGATACATTTCAAATACATTCATTCAATTACCTATTTCAAAATATTCCTTGAATGGATTCGTCAAGTCATAACAAAGTCTTTTTTTCTGACAAGATACTTAAACTATTTTATAAAACAAAGATATTTTGATTTTAAGGCAAATTCAAATATTTACAAGAGTTTCAATTTGTGTTACATTACATTTTTGTTTTTGTTCTTAATTAACCATAAACTAATACCTGACTACAAAAATAATGTTTTATGACTTTTATGAAAAACAAAATAAAATTGCTTATGGTTACTCGTAGCGTCTTCGTTGTTGCGTTGCGTTGTCGTCTTGTATTTGCTAAATAAATCATATAAAATGAAATTTTACAACAACGAACGTAACTAGAATACGTTTTGGTCTGGTCTCCAGACAGCTGTTGTTTTGCGTTGATCGCATTCGTTGTAAAAGTTCATCTCACAAGATGGCTGATATAAAGGTAAGTGAAGCATTTGGCGGCATTTTGATCGTTAACGGCCAAACTGTATTATTTACTTTCTTTATAGCACTGCATTTATGTGTGTGATATATTATCAGATATGTATATCTAACAACTGAATTATGTTTTCAGACTCACACTTATTTCTACTGTTAAACCTTGGGATTAAAATTTACAAGTTAATGTAAAAGTACTTGAACAATTAGGTACATGTTTGTCGATTTAACTGAATGAATAAATGTCCTGTTTAGTGTTTTTAGTACTTTTTAGTTTGGATTTTCGTTCGGCTTCAGCTTAAAAGTAAAATATCCGTGATTACCCTCATTTGCGCTTACTTACGTCTTTTGACCTGCAATTTTTAAAACGTAACTGTCTTTTGATAATTTTGAGCACTAGCACTCCATAATTGAGCACTAACTGCTTTTGTTTATGATTCCTATATTTTTTATTTTGTCTGCAATTATATTAGACCATGTTTGGTTTCTTATCAATGCTTCAGCTTACTGTAACATTTAAATTTTTTTGTAGTGATGCGCAAAATGTATCACTGAGCTGAAAAGATTGATACATATCATTTCGCTCAAAAGATATATATCACTCATCTAGCTCACTAGCTCATTTAGCTCACTAACTCATTTAGCTCACCAACTCATTTAGCTCACCAACTCATTTAGCTCACCAACTCATTTAGCTCACCAACTCATTTAGCTCACTAGCTCATTGATCCGATTCAATTGATTGGTCTCTCAATTAATTTATTTCTTCATCTAAGCCTTTAAGCCACTTTAAGCCTCTCTTGCCATACAAACCTTTCTTTATTTTCATATTAACCTAAATTCAGTTTTTGAAACTACATTCTTAACCTTTTTTTTTTAATAAAATTTATTCATTTTGATAAGATTACATAATTATTAACACCCTTTTATATAATATTTAAAAAAAGAAATTATTTCTTGTACTTTTTTTTAGGTTGTATAATAGAAATCATACATAATTTGATTTTCCTTGTACTTGGCAGGCTTAATTCTTAAGTAATATTAAACTTTGATCCTATAGAAATAATGTACATTTTGCATAAAGAAACTTGCGTGAACTCAACCATCATCTATCTCACTCATTTATCTTTAGTCTCACTCGCTCATGAAACAAAGATCGGCGTCGTTGAGCTAGTGATCTAATGATCTAGTGAGCTAGTACTGAGTTACTGATATATTCGGAGCTAGTGTGAGTGAGTGATACATTTTATCGTCGTGAATGATATATATCTTTTATATCACTCATTCAGGAGCTACACAACTCTATTTTTTTGACAGATGTGAGTAATGTTTTTAATATTAGCTTCTAAATTGAACATTAACCTTTACATTTTATTTAAAATTATGACAATAAGATAAATTACAACAGATACAGAACAAATGATCATGGTCATCACATCAAATATTAGGCCTAGGTTGAAATCAAACCTACAACCTTTGTCAAAATAGCTAACCACTACCCAAACAGGCCAGTCAGTTATTTGTTTGCTTGGAAACGTTTCTAGCCACAGCAAAAATACAAAATTAAATATTCAATTATATTATTAATCCTTTTGGATTAAAAACATGAATTGCAATTGATAGCTTTAGATGTTTACATTTATTAATTAAAATTTGAGCTTTTGATTAGTTTGTCTAACTTGATACATGGACTTAGTTGAAAATACATGTTAAGGAATTAGAAATGTGGTCCATATTTGTTCCCTCACATACCTTATAGACACATTTTATTTATAGGTTACAGTCTTAATGGTTTTATTAGTCAGTATAGTGTAGTGTAAGTAATAGCACAAACAATTGAATCAACAAAAAAAAACTGAGCTTTGGCTAGTAGAATTTGTACCCTGTTATACCTCATATCTCTTAGAATAAGTTCAATGAACCCTGTTGATACAACATATTAACAAAATGTACTTTGCAAAGTTTACCGATTTTTGTGCTTAAATGTGTTCCATATCTTGTGGTTGCACCCTTCCATATTTAAAATTGCACCAATTTTACTTAAATTGTGCTATATCATGCAATATTTGTACAGTTTGTAACATTTTTCCTGAACATTTTACTTTGTGTAGTAGATCTTGCAATGATAAATTTATTTCTGTAAGTGCATTTGTATAAGAAAATTGTGAGAAAGACTAATTTTTATTCAGAAAAACTGTGTACAAGAGACCTTTATTGAAATAAAGTACCACTTCGTTATTTTGACTCATGTTCAGCTACATTATATTTTGTTTTTCGAACAATATGTTAGTTTTATATACCTTTATTGAAGTAAATTTTTTTTTGGTTTGTTTTCACATAATTATTATGTCAATATTGAAATTGTAGCTTTACCTATATAAATTTTTTAGACACCAACATATATATTTTTTATGAGACCCCTCTAAGTATATTGATACTCAAAAATATACTTTAATGCATATTACGATTATCCACCAGACAATGTTCAACAAAATAAACACTGCGGCCCAAAATGGCACGGGCGAAGCGCCACCTGCCCCTAAGGCCGCCGGCAAGGGCACAATAGAAAAGATATATCAGAAGAAAACGCAGCTGGAACATATACTGCTTAGACCTGATACGTACATTGGATCCGTTGAGCGGACCACTGAGACCATGTGGGTCTTTGATAAATCTAAGGAGTGTATGGTTCAGAAGGAACTGAGTTATGTGCCAGGTAAGAAGCATGTATAAAGGTTTTTATTATTAAAACCAAAATAATTGTTTTTTTTATTAAGATAACCTGCTTAGAGTCAATAACATAAAATACACCAATTTAATTTACACTTTAAATTTACAGGATTATATAAAATATTTGACGAAATATTAGTAAACGCAGCTGATAACAAGCAAAGGGACCCCAAAATGGACGTAATGAAAATTGATATAAACCAGGAACAAAACACTATATCTGTTTACAACAATGGCTGTGGTATTCCTGTGGTGATGCATAAGGATGAAAAAATGTATGTGCCCACAATGATCTTTGGCCATCTATTGACATCATCAAATTACAATGACGAAGAAGAAAAAGTTACAGGTGGTAGAAATGGTTATGGTGCTAAATTGTGCAACATCTTCTCCACAAAATTTACTGTTGAAACTGCATCAAAGCAATATAAGAAGCATTTCAAGCAGACCTGGGGCTCTAACATGACTAAAGCTTCCGAACCTAAGGTTAAGGAGGCTGGCAAGGATGACGATTTTACCAGAGTAACATTCAGCCCTGATTTATCAAAGTTCAAAATGGAAAAGTTGGAAGATGACATTGTTTCTCTTATGTGTAGGAGAGCATATGATGTTGCTATGACAACAGCAGGTGTCAAGGTCTATCTTAATGGAGAGAGGCTAAAGATAAATAAATTTAAAGACTATGTAGATTTATACATAAAAGGAAAAGAAGACGAGAATGGGCAACCATTGAAAGTAGTATATGAGAAAGTGAATGATCGGTGGGAGATTGCTCTCACAATCTCTGACAGAGGCTTCCAGCAAGTTTCATTTGTGAACTCTATTGCAACCACAAAAGGAGGTAAACATGTTGATACAGTAACAGACAGTATTGTTAAAAATATTATAGAAATATTGAAAAAGAAGAACAAAGGAGGAGTTAATATTAAACCTGTACAGGTTAAGAATCATATGTGGTTGTTTGTAAATTGTCTGATTGTAAACCCAACCTTTGATTCACAAACAAAAGAGTACATGACATTGCAAGCCAAGAGTTTTGGTTCTAAGTGCACTTATTCAGAGAAATTCATAACGGCAGTGACAAAATCTGGTCTAATGGAGTCTGTACTAACTTGGGCTAAGTTCAAAGCCCAAACGGAGCTTGTTAAGGCATCAGGAAAGAAACAGAGTAAGCTGAAAGGTATACCAAAATTGGAAGATGCGAACGACGCAGGGACCAAGAATGCACATTTGTGTACACTCATTCTTACTGAGGGAGACTCAGCCAAGACCTTGGCTGTATCAGGACTCAGTGTCGTCGGCAGAGATCACTACGGCGTCTTCCCCTTAAAGGGTAAACCACTTAATGTAAGAGATGCATCACACAAGCAAGTATTGGAAAATGTGGAGATTAACAACTTGATCAAAATTCTCGGTCTTCAGTACAAAAAGAAATATAACACCTTAGACGATTTGAAATCTTTAAGGTATGGCAAAGTGATGATTATGGCCGATCAGGATCAAGACGGATCTCACATCAAGGGTTTGATCATAAACTTCATTCACCATAATTGGCCAGAACTATTGAAACTGCCATTCTTGGAAGAGTTTATTACTCCAATTGTCAAAGCTAAAAAGAAAGATAAAGAAATTTCATTTTATTCACTACCAGAATTTGAAGAATGGAAGAATAATACAGAGAACCATCATACATACACTATAAAGTACTACAAAGGTTTGGGTACCTCGACTTCAAACGAGGCTAAGGAATACTTTCAGAATATGGAGCGACATAGGATTAAGTTTAAGTATGGTGGCCCTACAGATGACCATCACATAGAGTTAGCATTTTCCAAGAAGGGTGCGGACCAACGTAAAGAATGGTTGACCAACCACATGGATGAAGTGAAGAGGAGAAAAGAAATAGGTCTTCCTGAAAGATATTTGTACACCAAGGACACAAAAGCGGTCTCATATTCAGATTTTGTAAATTTAGAGCTAGTACTCTTTTCCAATGGTGATAATATAAGGTGAGTTAACCATGTTACAATAGGCTTGTGTCCACTAATAACAAATTGCTTTGTTTATAGTTTCAAATTATAAATGAAGAGACATAGATAAGAAAGAAACAGTCTATTTCTCATTAAAGTTAAAGATTATTAATAATTTTTTAAAATAAATTTGAACAAAAAAGGCATTAAGTCACGTGACAGCGAACACTGATCAGAAAGTGTTACGTCAAAACATTGTTGTTGTTGACGTTTTCATACAACAGAGCAGGTTACTTCTTATTGTTGTTCGTTTTTAGCATATTTTCTCATCTTAATACAGTTTCAGTTGACACTGGACACAGATGTTAACAGATTTGTTTCGCAGACTGTGACGTCATTCAAGACGCCATGACACTATTCAGCGTTTTCAAGGGAAACTTAAATTGTTTTTTTTTAAATATAAAATACGTAATGTAAATATTGTTTTTCTTTAAAATATAGGTTTTTTGGGATAAAATAGATATTAAAGTATATAATGAACAAAGTTTTCAAATTGAGTCAACTAGCCTATTACCATGACTGTATCCATTAGATAATGTATGTTTATTTAGGTTCTTAGTCATCCATTTTTTTGTCTACATTAGAATCATCTTCTAGTCCTGGGTAAAAGACTAGAAGATGATTCTAATTTAAACTTCATATCAGGCACGGTACAATTACAATACAGTAGTCTAACTCGGCCGCATGATAGAAATAAATGCCTACAGCCGCGCGGTACGTAAACATGCGTTAGGGCTGCACGTCTCCAGCATTTTAATTATATTTGCCTACTTTCTGGTTCTAGTTAGATTTGTGATTGTAAATATCCTTTTTATATAAATAAATGAAATACTTTGTATATTGAATAGGAAGTGTTCAATAAAAATGCGTGTTGTTTTTTGATTGGTAGATTTAATTATTTTATTTTCTTTCTGCATTGGAGGAGTTCAAGTTTCAACTTTCTTTTTCTTGGAGTGTTGCTAGAGAGACTCGTTGAGATTTGAGCAAAGATTTCATTTGTTGCATTTTCAGTCTGTGTACTATTTTCATTTCCTACCAACGGAGCAGTTTGGGTTTGTTTATCTTCTTTTAGAGAGACTCCTGGATCAGTACTAGCTAAGCTTGGCAGCATCAACAATGGTAGGGCATTCTTTCTTAAAAGTTTTCTATTTTATGAATGTAATACATCCTCCAAATTAAAATGTTTTTCACAAACTTGGTAGGAACTAAAGTTAGGTTTGTTTTCCAAATCATCTCGCCGGATCAGTTGCAACCATTAAAGACGTCTGAAAAAAAAATTACATGTGACACTCTCGGAGACTGCCGCGGTAAAGCTGTTGCATAACATTTTTTTTTTAAAGAAAAAAATCTGCGTGGTGTCAGGTATTTTCCGTTAGGTTTTGAGAATTTCTTGATTCGGTCACCGCGCCGCGCCGCGCTCAGAGCCCGCGATAAAAGCTATGCAATAGCTTAAAAATCCTTCTATAGAATAAAAAAAATGTGCTTTCTCCTTACGCGTTACAAAACTCCAATCCATAGAAACTCCAACACCTACCTACTCAACTAGAATGCAAGAAACAGCTGACGAGTAAGTAACTTTTTATCTCAGCTTATTAACGTCTCTATAAATTAGGTACCTACCTACAACTCGCAACAACTCAAAACAAAAATTCTTTGGTCACCATTTAATTAATTATTAAAAAGCTGAACAGCTGACTACGAATGTTTTAAAATCACAACCCTCAAACATCTAAATATTGTATATGAGTCTAGGTGTTGTTGTTAATACCGAGAAAATAAAACCAGTTTTTAGTGGTATATGTTGTTATAGTAGCAGCAGAAACACTTTGTGAAAATTTCGAAAACTATCTAATGACACACAGACGGTAAAAATTTTTTTTCTAGTATTATTCATACACACAGATAATAAACAAATATTATTAATAATAAAATACCACGTCTTTACTTTGAATTATGCAAAGTAACAAAACACACATGCACCGAAGTTTTAACACAAGCATAAGTAGGTACCTACCGTATCATGATTCATTCAGAACCGCATATAACTACCTATTTCACTCGTCTCAATAACTTTCCGTTACTCTATTCGCTTTATTTATTAATCCAAACACCTTTTTTTTCGTGAGATAAAAGGAAATACTTATCCATTAAAAATACACATATTATGTACCTACCTACTAGTAAGTAAAATTATTATTTTATTCATTATTATTAAGTAAAGTAAAATTATTATAGTCTTACCTTTCAGAGTTTCCAGGTAATTAAAAAAAACTTATGTCTGGATGCGTTATTGACGAATTCATACAACCAAAAACAGCACAATATTTCCTACTCGTCATATTAACTGATTTTTAGAGAAAAAATCGCGCGGTTATTGTTAAAAAAACAACACACCATCCATTCGACACTGCGGCACAGCCGTGACTGTCTGCGCCCCGAGCGCACCCCGAGATCGAGGCGCGTAGGTATAGCTCGCGTTTCGTCCGTTTGTATGAAGTTGGAGTACTGTATTATAATAGTACCGTGTATCAGGTTAGACGTTGCAAAACCCGATGCCAGTTCTCCTTGGGGATGGACTAGACGTAATACTTATTTTCTAATTTATTGTTTATTTCAGGTCAATTCCTTCCATGGTAGACGGTTTGAAACCTGGTCAGCGAAAGGTTATCTTTACATGTATAAAACGTAACGATAAACGCGAAGTCAAAGTAGCTCAACTGGCTGGTTCAGTTGCGGAACATTCTGCATACCATCACGGTGCGTATAATTTTCTTATTACATACGCTCACGCCTTTAATCCGAAAAGGCAAGCAGAGACGAACTAAACGTCATATTGCCAACTATAGAGTATACATTACAATGACGGGCCTGTTGGTCTAGTGGTTAGTGACCCTGACTTCTAAGCCGGAGGTCGTGGGTTCGATACACCCAGGACAAATAATTGTGTGATGAGCATGATGATTTGTTCTGTGTCTGGGTGTAACTTATCTATAATATGTATGTATTTAAAAATATATAAGTATGTTAAGATGTTATGTTATATGCAAGACTTTTTATTGATTGGCTCTTATTGGTGGTAGTGTGATGTTTTATAGCCTATAGCATTCCTATAGCCACCCAACACTAAAAAAAAAATTCAATTCAAACCACTAGTTTCAGAGATTAACACAATCAACCAAACAAACTTGTAATATCAGTATAGATTATACGAAATCTATTGTTTTGTAAAATCTTTACTTATTAAAAAAGATTTTGTTGAAAACACATATTCATCCATATATTCCTTATCCACAGGTGAGCAGTCCTTAGCTATGACGATAGTAAACTTGGCGCAAAACTACGTGGGCTCGAACAACATCAATCTCTTGGAGCCGCACGGCCAGTTCGGTTCGCGACTCAACGGAGGCAAAGACTCTGCGAGCCCCCGTTACATTCACACCCTTATGTCACCGCTCACGAGGCTTATTTTCCACCCTCATGATGATCCTTTACTTGTGGTAAGTATTAGTAAGGCCTCATAAGATATTTTTTTTGTTTTTATTGTTCCTCATCTATAGTAGTCTTAGAATACCATTAAACCACATCATATCACATCAAGAGCTTTTAATAGTCCACTGCTGGACAATAGGCCTCTCCTTTAAAGGTGGTTTTGGTCTACTATTCTACGCTAGCCAGACAGGTTTGTGGTGCTGTTATCCTGCATAGTTTGCTCCCTTAATCGGCTCTTAACACACCTGTGGCATGAATAGGGATGGTGACACTCCGTATTCTTAATCTGGCATCATATGTATCAAATTTATAAATAATCAATCATATTATCGCGAAATATAAATGGTACACCTATTACATTGAAATATATCAGGAACTATAAGCCTTCCTTTACAATTTGTAGCATGACTTCGAAGACAATCAGAAAATTGAACCGATCCAGTACATCCCTATCCTACCTATGGTACTCGTAAATGGCTCTGAAGGTATCGGCACAGGCTGGTCCACCAAGATACCTAACTACAATCCAAGAGATATCTGTGAAAATCTCAGGTTTGTTTAAAATTAACTATAAAACAATATACTTTGCAAGTATGTATGGTGGTGGTACTAGACTTACTATTGATAAGATGGCTGTCCTGTTTATAATAATAATTGCTTTATAATCCAGTAGTAATAAGTAGAATCTATATACAGGCGCATGTTAGACGGAGATGAGCCGAAGCCGATGCACCCTTGGTATAAAAACTTCCGAGGCACTATCGAAGGTTTTGGAGATAAATACGTCATATCTGGAGAAGCAGCCATCTTGCCTGGTGAAAAGATTGAGATCACCGAACTTCCAGTTGGCATATGGACCCAGAATTATAAGGAGAACGTATTGGAACCTATGCTTGGGACAGATAAAGTGAAACCTTTAATTTCTGAGTATAAGGTGAGTGACAGCAAAAACTAGTTTAAACCTTCAACTTGTATGGATCAGTTAATTAAATGATTTTCTAACAATGTATTCTGTTTACAGGATTATAACACAGACACAACAGTCCGTTTTGTAGTGAGCCTTTTACCGGGTAAACTTGCTGAAGTAGAAGCTGAGGGTATCCACAAAGTGTTTAAACTGCAGACCACTATATCCCTCACATGTATGAATGCGTTTGACCATAATGTCTGTCTTAAAAAGTGAGTATACTGGTTTACATGGATATTACTGGCTTGATTGTTTCCACTATCATTTCAAGTTTTGTGTTCCATACTATGTGATAATGTATATATAGAGAAATGAACACTTACAACAGAAATGTACCTTTGAATCGCCTGACTTTTTAACCCGCAGTGCTATTCTCTAAGGCAACAGCCTTCCGTGCAGCGCGTTTTTTTTTTTACGTGTGGAAACCCTCTCGGGCCGTCAACCCACCGGGGTTTGCGGCGGGGTGGTGTGTCGGAATCGGATCGACTAAAACCGGTGCACCACTACCACCACTACACACCACGGTACACGGTGCACGGTGCAACACGGTGTGCCACTCTGCGCCTGTTACAGGAGACATCTGGAAACCGCTATTATAAAGACATCCAGACCCCTCCTAGCGCCTTGGCGCGGGCACCAACTTAGGGTATATTCTCCATTTAGGCAACATCCAGCACACGCGGACGTCGCCTCCTCGCGGCTGGCCGTTATGGCAGAGGGATGGGAGGTTGTCCTACCGGGCCCTCTCCGCCGCCTCCTTCCGCAAGATGACGTCTTCGCAGAAGGATGCGACCGCGGTAAAACATCTGTCACTGCCGGCCATGGAGCGTATGATGGCCGGTAGCGAGAGATCCCATCCGATGACTGCAATGAGGAGTCTGCGCTGCGGCGCCCAAGCCGGGCTAGTTGCCAGCGTGTGCTGAGCCGAGTCCTCACTGCAATCGCAGTGGTGACAGGCGGGACTCAATTCCCTCCTAGTGACCGAGTGCAGGTACTTCCCGAAGCAGCCGTGCCCGGAAAGGACCTGCGTCAGCACAAAGGAAAGGGTCCCGTGCTGCCGCCCTGCCCACTCGACGATGACTGGCTGCAGCTTCCGTGCAGCGCTGCTACAGCGTCGAACTTCAAACTAACTTAGTTTGAAATTCGACACTGTGACAGCGCTGTAGGGTCGAATTTCAAACGAACGTAGATTGAAGTTCGAGGATGTGGCAGCGCTGTGTGCAAGGCTGTTTCCTTAGAGAATAGCACTACTGGTTGTACGTTATATGTTTATCGCTGTAATTCTCATATGGATATATCATTGTTTGTCTCTATTATGAATAGTTAAGATACAATACTTGTCACAAATTTTTCTATGAAAGTTATGAGTCTAAGTTCTATGAAAGTTTTCATTTTACATTTAACAGCTTTATAATACAGTGTCTATGTTAAAGAGTTCTTATTTAGTAATAACGACAACGATACATTGTTTTCCGTTTCAGGTATGATAAAGTTGAAGAGATTCTACGCGATTTCTATGAGCTAAGACTGAAATATTATGCAAGACGAAAGGAATATCGCGAAGGGCAGTTACAAGCTGAGGCCGACAAGCTATCAAATCAGGCAAGATTCATCCTGGAGAAGTGTGATAAAGGACTTGTGGTGGAAAATAAAAAGAGGAAGGTCATGGTTGAAGAACTCATCAAGAGAGGTAAGTTACTAAGACCCAAGTATTATGCTTAATTGCTTGCTGTATTTAGATGTTTAGATTTATTTATGACAGCACCTTGTAACAATATATATATACATATTCCAAGCAATATAAGAGATATAAAGAATCCCTGAGATATAAAGAAAGTTATAATTTATTAATAGCTTATTTTTTTTTTGTAAAAAATCAGGCTATGCTGCCGATCCGATATCGGAATGGAAGAGGCGCGCCAGTAAGATGCAAGGGTTAAATGCTATTGAAGACGACCCAGAAGCGGAGTCTGAAGATGAACCTGAACAACCACCACAGAACGATAAGGGCAAACCTGTGGATTCAGGTAAGAAATACTTTACATTGTCTGCATAGAAAATTAAATGTTTCGATTTAAGTTTGTGAATTTAGCCTGATAGTGTCAATGTTTCGATATAAGTTTGTGAATTTAGCCTGATAGTGTCAATGAGTTGCAATATACCATATTATTATACTCATGTTGCCAATCTTATTCTTCCAATCAACTTAAGCCATGGTACCATCAAACCACAGTCTCTCCTAGGTTGCAACTACTCCAGTAAGGTTACTTCACCTCCTACTGTTACAATACTTCATCTTCGAGGATTTAATATATTTTTTATAGTTTGACCCTGTACGAGACAGTCGTTAATAATTATGAAAATTTCATGAAAACACAGAGGCAGCATTCCAGCAGCTTAAAGAAGTAAAGAAGTTCAATTATCTCCTGGGCATGTCCATGTGGATGCTCACTAAGGAGAAGAAAGACGAACTGCTCAAACAGAGAGACCAGAAACTGAGTGAACTGAATGCTCTCAAGTAAGTGTATCAAATGAACATTAATCATTTTCTCTTTACTCAATAATGATAATAAAATAATTTGTGTCTAAAAATGTTGTATACTTGTTACCTGAAATACAAAGCTTAAAGGAAGCTTTTCATCCAGAAAAAAATGCTGAGAAATTTAAAAATTAGTAAAATTTAAAAGCAGTTTCGTATATAAGCTGATTGTAAGATTTTTGTCTGTGTCATGACGGATTAAGAGAATTATATAAGACAGCACTGCAAAGAGAAGGAAAACTTGACACAAATCCTACACTAACTCATCTGGCCAGTATGTATGAATAGTAGAGTGGCCAAAGCCTCCTTCTTAAGGAAAGGCCTATATCCAGCAGTGGACTATTAAAGGATGTTGATGTGAACATTTTTTTAGTAGGTGATGCTCCAATGCTCTTTATTTTTTGTGTTAGTAATAAAAATGATAATTGAGAGGTGGCTGGCTTACTTTGAGTGACAATGTTGTTATTAGATTACTTGTAATGTTTTTTATTTTGTAATCTAGAGCAAAAACCCCTGCTATGTTATGGCGCGACGACTTAGATGAGTTCTTGGTCAAATTAGAAGAAGTTGAAGAGAAGGAGAGGCAGCAGGAACTCAATGTTAATAAGAAGACTGTCAAGGCTAATGTAAGCACTATTATTGTCATATATTTATTTTGTCTTATCTGCCTTTTCTTTCCATGTAAAACACGAATAAAACAAATTACAGCAGCCCTTATAAAATGAACCTGTACTCTAGATAGCAGAGAAGAATTACTTAAAGATCTCTCAATTAATTTCTTGTAATAAAAGTATTTTGATTTATTTTTATTTTGTGCACGCTTACCAGGCAGACCGGATAAAGGTAAGTTATTATATTAGTATTTGGTTTTATTTAAGTAATTATAGAGACACTATTTATCTTAACATCACCAGTCTACGTTTGTTGCCTACGGATTGTGCCTACGTGTTTCCTAGATGATATATGTATGTATATTTACATTTAGATGCTGTTAAAAATTTTCGTCAGTTTTTGGCTCTAATGAGAATAAAAAATTGGTGTTATTTAAGTCATTAATAAATAAAGTTGTGATGAAAATTTATGTTTACTATTATATTCTATAGGCTGCTAACAAAAAGAGTCGCAAGTCTCTATTGGATACCGCACCATCCGAAAACGGTCGCAGAGTCGAGCCGAAGATTTCGGAAGACCTGATCAAGAGGATACAAGCTGCCGAGAAAGCGAAGACCAGGAAGGAAATAAAGAAGGAATATGATCCGGTTTGTATTTACTCAAATTATTTAAATATCACTTGTACTCTTGAATAGAAAACTTGTGTTGTGATAACAAGTTGATACTCAGTAATGTTTTAAATTATAGGTATTAAAATGTTGAAGTATTCATTAAAATTATTGTAACATAAACGAAGATAGTAATTTCCCTTGAATTACAATGTATTAACATAGACTTTGCATTGCATTTTTTTCTTCCTTATATTATACATTTTTTTAAAGTTTATCACACTTGCATGATTATGTATAATATCAACAATAACTAAAATTGTATATGTTGCAGGATGATCCAACAGGAATTAGTCCAACAAGCAATGAGAAGAAGCCTAAGGCGGCTCGAGTTAAGAAGGAAAAGGCCGAGAAACCAGAGAAGGCTGAAAAGGCAGAGAAAGCTGAAAAGGGTGCTGGCGATGGGTTAAAACAGACCAAACTTTCCTTCAAAAAAGAACCTAAGAAGGTAAGAAATAATTTGGCCCCAACTGCAGCTACAGCAAGCAGTACATCAGTTACCATTCAGCTCTATGAAGGCTATTTTTATATTCCAATTTATTTATTTAATTTAATTATTATTTTACTAGTATAAGTTCAATTGTTGTCTTATTGGTAGGGCTATAGTACTGTGTTAGTGAATATTTTTGTCGCTTGATTGTTTTTTAAGGCTTTTAATATGTTTTAACATGTGTTTTGTCTAAACTAAGGTATTATTTCAGGCCAAACGAATGACGTTTAGTGGCAGTAGTTCAGATGAGATGTCTGGGTCAGACATTGAGACAGTAGAACCACCTGCACCCCGGGAACGAGCCAATGCTCGACGAGCTGCTACTAAGGTAAATGTTTATGAATATTTCATAAATAGCTGTTACATCCTAAGATTAAAATGTAACTGGAAGAAAATATTAAATTCTGATAATTTTATGTGTAGAATTTTCTTTCTCTGAATAGTTTATTTGATAGAAGTGTACGTTACAGGTTCAAAAATACAAAGACAGTGATGAGTCTTCACACTCTGGGTCTGAATTAGAATTGTTGGACAACAAACTGGAGTCTGATACTGAGGTGCAGCCAGCAATATCACTTAGTGACGAGGAGGATGACTTCAATGTCAAGAAATCCGCCAGCAAAAAGCCTGCTGAAATGGATTCTGGTACGAATAATCCTGAGAAACTGCTAAATTTTGGTTATATCTCTAATCTGTGTGAAAGACCAGTTATCAGATGCTCACATTTAGCGAAATACATTGGGAACATCACATTTAGATTTTTTTTTTTTTTAATTAGGAATTAAGGCTGTATTAAAGATGAACAAAAAAAAAAAAAAAATTAGGAATTACATTAGGAAAATATCCTGTGTCGCGGGGGACTTTACAAACATACATGAAACGGACACAAAGAACACCCAGACTCAGAACAACAATTTGTGGTTCACACATAGTGTTGTCCTATGTGGGTTTTGAACATACAACACTCGGCGTAGTAGGAAGCGGCGTGGCGACCGCTTATACAACTACGCCATCCGTGCAGTCAAATTGCAAAATTTAGGAAAATTGAGTTTTTAATAAAAGGGAAAGGTATGTGAGGAGAAAAGGCATGTTTCTTTGGTTGAGCTGGTCAGGATCGCATATCTGTGCGTCTGCCTGGCTGATGCCCATAAGTCTCTAACAATTATAATTGAAGTACCGCTCAGAGGGTGGTGTAAAATCATGACACACAAATAACAAAAGATAAGATTTACTCTTGTAATTGAGCAAGTTCTTTGTTTGGCCTAAAAGTGGCAATTAGGTGCAAATTAATAGATTGTATGTATACCAATCATTACCTAACACTTTATAACCTTTTAAATTTTTGAACATTCCAGATTGCTTATTTGACTCTCTAATCGAAGATACAAAGAAAGAAGAAATGGAGAAAGCCAAGAATGGCTCACACCCTCCTGCCACAGTATTGTCCAGTGATGACGAACCGCCCGCCCCTCCTGACTCTCCTCCGAAGAAGAAGGCAGCGCCCAAACGGAAGCTAATGAACGACGACAAACCTAAAGCCAAGAAGAGACCAGCTAAAGACATCATCAGTGATGATGATGATGACAGTATATTTGATAGTAAAAAGGTAAAGGTTTGTTTTAAAGATAAGTGTTATCTGCGGCGGTGTTAAAAGCAATTATCAAACCAATTTTTATTTTAATGGATTTACGCAATGGTTTTATTATTCTTATTATGTATGTTAAGACTGGATGGCGTAGTGGTTTGTGTAACGGACTGCTATTCCAAAGGTCGCGGGTTCGATTCTCGCTCAATTCAAACATTTGTGTGCATGAACATTTAATGTTTGATTGGGTCGGGGAGTTTCTATGTATAATAAGTATGTATTTACAAAAAAAAGTATAAATGTATTTATATCAGTTGTCTAGTAAGCCTTATGTAGCTTGTACAGCTCTGCTTAGTTTGAGACTAGATGGCGTTGTGTAAATGGGTTAGAATATTATTATTATCTTATTGTTATGTCATAATTGTTTTGGATACTTGGACTCCACAATAGTTCATTAATTTTATTATTTTCTCATTGAATTCTTTTTAACAATAGGATCAGAAGAAAAAGGCAGCGCCAAAAAAGAAACCCAAGAAAAAAGTGGAGAGTGAGTCAGAGGTATCGGAAGCAGGATCTCCCACTCCTCCACGCAAGCCGGCCAACTCGCGGGCGAGACCGCAACAGAAGTACAACTTTAGCGACGAGTCCGACTCGGATTAAAACTAGTGTTTAAGGTATTGCTTTTTTTTGGTTTTCTTAGAAAAAGGTAACTGCTGCACTAGGAGTATACTCCAAGTGCAGGAGTTACCTTGTATACTCCTAGTATACTCCTATACCTAGTATACCCCTATTATATATAAACAGACACAAAGAACACCCAAAATCAATGTATGGAATCTAAGTTTCTTTTTATTTTACAGATTCCAGTATTGTGAAATAGACTATCAGTGAAACTAGCAGGAAGTCGGCGGTGTATAGAGTTGCTAGTTAAATGCAACTAATTTTATATTGTTTTTATCCTATCGACCATGTGAACATATTTTTAACATGTTCGGGCCTAGAACACGTCCGATAGCGACCGGTGAATACAAGTTTGTAATCTCTATGTTTTGAATAAGTAATAGTTATTTATAAATAGATTTAATTAGAAAAATAAAATAGTTAAAATGTCACTTGTGATGCTCAAACGTTAATTGAATTGGTAAGATTTGTTGAGCGAAATCTGAAGTATTTTCTAAAAAAATGTACATATTTGAAAATGTAATTAGTTACGTCAATTTCTTACTATATCTTCTATTTCTTTTTCTTAATAAAATTATTTTAATTCCTATAATTTCATCAGTTAAATATAGTCTTGACATTTTTGATACCAGTTTTGTTATTATGTATACTTACTGCATTTGTGCTATTTAAATCTTTGAGTATTTTTATCATTATCAATTCCATGTATTCATCACAATGATATTGAATTATTCTGTTACTTCCTTTTTTACGTTACGTATAAAATTTCTTGATAGTTGTTAATTTTCAACAACATGTAAATAAATTCGATTTTCAAAGGACTGCAGTTTTATATGAACACATCACCATACGATCACGTCAAGTTTAATTGATTCGAAAATCTAATATGGGCAATACTGAAGATATTCTGTGTATAGTAAAAATATAACCAAAAATACTTGTAACTTTATACTTTGCTACCAACAAATCTTGTAATATTACTTTTAATGTAAAAAGATTTGATAGTAGGAAAGAAAGATTTGATAGTTTAAAACAATTATGTTACAAGCTCCCTAAAAATGAACATGGTATGAGCCAACAATATATATCAGGGGTATAGAATCAAAAGCAGCTAAATCCATCGACACTTTTTTTACACAAATACCAAAAAACATTTTTTTTAATTTTTACTTGGTAACTGTAGAAATAATTTATTTGGCAGGAGGCGCATGTAGTGATTTTACAGGTTTTTCAACACAATCATAATTAGCAGAAAAAGTAACCGTTTAATTTAAATAATTGTGCTAGACATAGCTGTTTTTGATACCAAGTCCTGGATATGGCTGATTTTGATTCCAACAAGAAGTCTATTGCTAGTGAAGTGTATCGTGATGATTCTGGGTATCGAGTTATTAGAGCAGATATGCATCAGAACTTCGAAAATACAAAGCAAAATTAATAATTTAGATTATAGTACGTTCGTTAGCTAATAAGGAAACCATAAAATTTAAAGTTGGAAACGTATGACAAGTTACGATTATGAATGTGCCAAAGTAATAGACATATGTTTTTGGCCTTATTATTTATTAAGAAAGTAGAAAATTATTCATCGTACGTAGTTGAGATACTAAAATCAAATCTAAAACCTTAGAGTATTATCTTCATTTTCTTGTCCTCTTTCACAAACGAAATGTGTACCTGCAATGCAACAGTTTTATCGAAACTGATTGATAGTGAGTACATCACTACTCTATACCTACCTATCAATTTTTGTCATGTTTACTTTCCAATTTGAACATTCCAGATTGCTCGAAAACGTTTAAAATTTTAATGAAAACTGCAGCAACGGACGCACGCGTTTGTATGACAGATGCACTATTAAAAATTTTACTTAGCTGCATTTGTTTCTGACAATACTGGATAAAGCTGATTTTGATTCTAACGAGTGAGTTTGAAGTTGTTTTTCTTTAAAAATAGCTGCGTTTAATACCAAACGGTTTACCTAACATGTACAAATTTGGATAAGAAATGAAATAGCGTTCATAGTTCTATACCTACCAGGCTATGGATTTAGCTGGCTTTGATTCTATACCCCTCATATGTTCCCTGAGTTACATGAACAACAATAGATACATGTTGCACAGTGAACGAAAATAATCACCATCTTCTGTTCTGAGGTATTTTTCGGTTCTGGTGACTACTTCTTTTGGCAATCTGCGATATCCTATTTCTCTTAAAAATATTAAGAATAATTTTTGTATAAATATGACACCCTTGCAAATTAACTTCCAAAAGCCATTCCTGTAAGCGCGGATGCCCAATTTATTTATCTCAAAAGGAATAAATTTTCCCCGTATTTTTAATTAATGCTCGGCTCGGATTATCAGCTATCTAATACCACACGTGTAATAAACACTAATAGTAGGTCAACTCAGCTACTTGGAGGAGCAACGCTGGGGCAGGGTATGAAGGAGAGCGTCACCCCCTCCTGCCAGAGACGTCTGCGGCAGTACCGGCCGGCTTCGCTTGCTAACCGGTACTCCCGCTCAGGGTTGTCACGTACATCAGTTGCACGCGCTTGGTGCAACACAAGATCACTCGATATATTTTTATTACTTGATTAACTCACATTTAGTACTATTATGTCTTTACTAAGAATATAAGAAAAAGAACGCATATTAAACCTACATGTATTTGGTGGTTTAATGTACATTTACATATAAATACAAAAATACTTATGTTACTGTTTTAATTATATATTAATTAAATACATTATACGATCCTACATACATTAACTAACGAAATAACTGATTGATTGAAATTTATTAATAATAGGGGTTAAAGTATGAAATTGCCGTTGTATATTAATAGATACCTTGAATTGACACAAAACTATCATGGTGTGAGATTTTCGTGTGAAACTTTTTTCACAGAGACCAATGAGATTCTTCTTTAAAAAAAACGTGCAACATTCGATTTTCAACTTTCATTTTTTTTTATTCAGCTTAGACGTGAATATGGATCAAATTGTGACAGGTGACGAAAAGTGGATTGTTTACGATAACCGTAAGCGAAAAATGCAATGGCTGACCCCGGGTCAAACGCCGAACAGTGCCCTCAAGCAAAGGTTACCAATAAAAATGTAATGGTAACTGTTTGGTGGTCTCTTCATGATGTTATTAACTACAGCTTTCTTAGGTCTGGTCAGGCAATAACAGCAGATGTTAACTGTGCCGAACTTCGAACAATTATGGCGAAACTGGCAGTGAAACAGCCCCGACTCGTGAATCGATCTTCACCATTATTGCTTCAACACAACGCAAGACTTCACGCTACACGAGAAACCGTCGTAAACTCTACAGGAGCTGCAGTTAGAAAACCTTACTCGCCTAACCTTACTTCATCCTCCGTACTCGCTACCTTGCTCCAACTGACTACCATTTTTTTTGTGATTTGGACAATTTTCTATCTGACAAAAAAAGTTCTTGCCAGGAGGCAGTACAAAATGCATTCACACAGTTTGTCGAATCTAGATCCCCAGAGTTCTATCGTAAAGGGCATAAATGAACTTCCGTTTAGATGGCAGCAATCTGTAGATAATGAGGGTAAATATTTTGATTAAATAAATGTTACATCTTAGAAAAACACGAGTTTCAATTTTTCAGCACAAATCGGCAATTTCATTCCTTAACTCTTAATATAATATACATATAACTATATAAATTACAGATAATTACATTAATATCGTGGAGAAATGCTGCAGCAATCACATGGTTGTAAAAAATCAATTTTACCAAATCTTTTCCCAATATTTTCACCAACTGAAATCACGAAACGAAATAAGATATTCAATTCAGATTCAATGTATAATTTTAACCGCTTTTATATAATTTATTCAACCTTTTATACAATATATTAATTGGAATAGGTACCCAAGATACTGCTATATAGTATAGGTAAAATATATTTAAGTTAGGCAAAACAATTTTCATCTAGCTACCTACGATCGTAATCGTTTTTGTGACAACCCTTGCACATTTTTAGTAGAGACAGTCTAGTAGGTATTTAGTGCTCTATCAAGGGAGTTGACTCATTTTTAGTATTTATTATACATATGCTAATACTAAAACAAATATGATTCTTTATATATTATGGTATATATGTATGTGTATATATATAACACAATATATATGAATATGAATGTATGTATTCTTGTATGTATACGTTGGTATTTATATATTATTTCATTGCTTTTTGCTCAGTATTGCTATCATAACTTCTTTTATGTCCACTTTATAATTCTCAACCAAAGGGTAGTGCACCTCCACACTCATTTCCACACCACCCTAAGGTAGGCTGGTAGAGAATGCCTATGGCATTAAGTCCGCCATTGTACTTATGTGCATAAAGTTGATAAATAATTAAAAGAATTTTTCACTTCGAACTGTTCCTGAGAATAACGCGTAGGTACAACCAAAAAAACTCTAGCTTTATAATATTAGTATAGATAAGTTTTCAACAACTTAATAGTAGGGGGAGAGGGCTTTCGGGATTTACTCGAGCGTGTCAGATTTTAACATAGGAGGAATACCTTACACCCAGTCATACATAAGCCCTTCATATAGGGCGGAGCGTCTAGGGCAGCTCATCAGATTAGTTAAAAAAAAAGACGTGTGGCACTCAGGAACTGCCGCGGTAAAGCTATTGCATAGCATTTTTTATCAACTTATGCAATATTTTTTTTTTTTTTTTTTATTTATGCAGTATTTTTTTCTTTGATAATATTTCAAGTTTTTTCTATTCCACGCGAACGAAGTCGGGGTACCAGCAAGTATTAAATAATTATCTCAGGAAAAGCCTATAGAATTTTACCCGGCTCGGGAATCGAACCCACTAAGGCAGCGTTTTCAAATTCTACGCAAACAAAGTCGCGGGTATCAGCTAAAAATCTGTAGGGACCAGATTGTTCCTCTCCTTTGCCCGGTTCAGACGAACCCAAACATAGGGGGTCCAAGTGCTCCAGGAACCGAGAAAATCAAATGAGGGATAAATGAAAAAAGTTGAGGGGAGAGGGGGGAGGTATTTTGTTGGGACCTCAATGCAATCATAAAAAAATAAGTCATCCCTCGAAAATACAAGCCGGTCGGAGGTTAGGTTATTTTCGTTACGGAATTTCTGAATTCGGTCTCATCGCTCAAGGCCCGCGATAGAAGCTATGCAATAGCTTAAAAAAAATCGATGAGCAGTAATACTCAAGCGTGTAAGATTAAGGTAAGTTGAGTCCATTATATACACATTAGTGTGCATTTAAAAAGATCCGACGATTTGAGTGTGACATAAAGCACAAAGGGTCACAAAGTTCTAAAAAAAAAACACTTGGCCTTGACATTTTATTATTTAATTTAAAGCAAACAATGCAAGAAATTTAAATGTCTACATAATTTTCCGTGCCTTTATTTGTCACATTTTATTAAAAATCAATAAATAAAATATTTCTAACCGTCAAATTTAAAATACCCTTCAAAATTATAGTCAGATTTTTGGCTAGTATGAAAGGAACATCAAGCTGAACCGTCTATATATAACCTAACACGCTCAGGTATTTCGAAATGGCGATTTTTCGAATTTGCTGTTAGCATTTTCGATAATTAGCTTCGAAATTTCGCTTGTGTCACTTTAAAATCGTCAGACTTTTCCATAAGAGCATTTTTGGCGTCCAAACAACATATCCGCAAAATATCTGATGCGCCCAAATATATATTTTCTCGATTTCGTCCCCTTACATTTTTGAAAATCTGTACAAACTTTGCCCACCTCTAAAAGTGGAAACATTCTATAACTTTTATTCATTCTATTACCTATCTTTCAAAGGCAATGGGTCCCCATGACGATTGAGTAAATCCCCATTTAGCATCATGAACTCTCGTACTATATCTAGCTGGTGCTCTATGTGAGGATGTTCGCTGATCATTATTTTGTTCCTGCTTAGTGAGTGTAGCACATTTTGAACTATCTACGTCAGTGTCAGGATGGCCGAGCGGTCTAAGGCGCCAGACTCAAGGCAACTTGCCCGTTTAAAACGGGTGCAGGGCGTTCTGGTCCTCTCTGAGGGCGTGGGTTCGAATCCCACTTCTGACAAACTTTTAATTTCTTGTACCGATGTACTATCCCAATAATTTAGTTCATCTGATATTTGTATCGGTTACTTTTTTTACAAAATTGGTAATCGCCGAATTGTATGTTTTGGCGTTTAATTGTTTATGTTTGGGTTGGCGAACCAGTCAACTAAATTGTTGTCATGAACAGGGAACTACCAAAAAATACTAGGATTAATTGAATGACGGGACCACGCCAGGTTTTTCGAAGATCATGTGAATATGATTTTATACAATTTTTCTATATTTCATACTTTCATAGTAAAATTATTTTCTATTCTACGAAGAAAGTGGTGGCTATTGTATTTTGATATCAAAATGGCGGGACCAATATTCAGCTAATGAAGATCACACGGCGTGATCTTTAACTGAACACAACAAATTTTAATACGATATAGTACGACTACGTTAGAATCGTTATTGCTTTTAAAATAGTAATTGCAATAAAAAAGTGTTTATTTTACTTACATGAGAAAAGCGTCTGAAGAAAAAGTTATTTTAAGCTAAGTACCATTTTATGGCTCTTACAATTTATTAAGGCGCTAAAAACGTTTGAACGTTTGAAGAATTTGTTTTAGATTTTTTATACAACTTAATTTCCAAAGACTACTTCTTAAATTGAGAACTATTTAATTACAGTTAATTTAGGTACTAATGGATTTTCATATGACTTGGCGTCCAAAATCAAGGTTTCTATATATCACTAAAATAAAATTGTGATGTGCGTGTTTAATTTTATTGTAAGTATTTAGTAAATTAACTGTAATAAAATTGATTTAAATTCAAGAAGTAGTCTTTGTAAATGTTGTTGTATAAAATATTTCTAAAATAAACTCTATGAGACCCAAACGTTTTGAAACGCCTAAACATGGAAGAGCTAAATTGTTGTGTTCAGTTTAAGGTCACGCCGTGTTATCTTCATTAACTGAATAGTATAATAAATAACTTTTGATATCAAAATAGCGGGACCCCACTTTCATTGTAGACTAATTGGAAATTTACGAGTGTAGAATTTTACTATGGAAATTATGAAATAGTAGAAATATTGTATTGAAACCGATCCACATGATTTTTTTATGAAAGGGTCACCTAATGGAAAGATATTTGAAAAACCTGGCGTGGTCACGTAATCTTGAGGTCACGATTATACTAAAAAGGTGTGAAGTATTGTACATTATAATTATCAAAAATACAACTGACACAACAGACCCACGGCTCTTTTGATTTTTCGTTAGGAAAAAGTAAATTTAGTGTCTGAAAAAAGCTACAAGTATTGCAATACTGATGCATAACAAAAAAACCACAAAAAAAGTATGTCAGAAGTGGGATTCGAACCCACGCCCTCAGAGAGGACCAGAACGCCCTGCACCCGCGTTAAACGGGCAAGTTGCCTTGAGTCTGGCGCCTTAGACCGCTCGGCCATCCTGACGTTGACATAAGTATTGAATAAGAGCTACACTTACGAATTGTTAAAAAAATTGACACATTAGCGCAAATCAAACTATGTATTGACTTGCGTCCTTACGAAAATGGTTCGCGAGAATACACCTTTTTTTCTAACGTACAAAAGATCATGCTTTCATAATTTAACTTCGAATCTCGTATATTCTTATCTCTCGTATAAGTTAAATGCACCCGTGACCGGCGAGCGTGTACAGCAGGTTCGAAGAATGTGGAAGTAGCGAGCTGTATATAGGTTCGGGACAAATGACTGACTAAAGGACTAGCCACATGTCAAATGATAAAATCATGCAAATGGGATATTTGGAACAAAAGGGGAGGCAATAAAACAACGGTTTATTGTTACATAAACAATATTATAATGCTTCATTAAAGATAATTTTCATTTCTTGTCAAATATGTCGATGTATGTTTTATCTAGTCTATATACGGTGTTATTCAGATGCGTTTTGTTTATTTTCGAATAGGTCCCTGGCCATTTTAAACTTAAAACTATACACTCTCATTATCAGGTAATTAATATGGCATTGAATACAGAGTGCTTGCTTAATTATTATTATTTACATTAAATTATTCTTTTATAATATTTAGATAAGTACAAATGTTACTAATAATTAGATAGGTACAACATTAAATGACAAATTAATCTAGCAATAGATTTTTAGTTAGATAACATTTATAAGAATTAGTGCATTTGTTGAAACGTTATATAGATTTTTAAAAACATTTCAGCAGTAATGCCAAAAGTCAAATTTTCAATTTTTGACATTTATACATATTAAAATATTTTTTCATAAAAAATTTAGGTCAAACGTAGGCCAATAACATTAGTGCAATTGGAATTAGCGCTTGATACCTCTATCAAGGGGTTAAAAATAAACATAATACAAATTGTGGAAATACGAAACTGTATTTCGAAGAATATTACAAGTTAATAGTCAGTATTACCAGTAAAGAAAATTCGTCCATAATAATTTTACCTTAGAGGTAGATTTCTCAGTATCGACTGAGCTTGCTTTCTCTATCAGAGTATCCTTTAGCACTCTCCCTATCAGAGTATTTCCCATTATATTTATTATTATATCGGTCACTATGGCCGTTCTTGACATACTGTTTTTCACTAGCGCTGTAGTGTATCTCGGAGGGTCCAATAGTCTTAGACCAATGGTGGGTCCAGTAAAAGTCGTCTGGGTAACGGGGATATGGATTCTCTCGGCATAACACCACGCAATATATGAGGCTCCCCACTAGTGTGATAAAGCCGAATATCAGGAAAACGATGCCTAGTATCCTGAAAAAAAAAAAAATTAAGTTATGGGTACTTCGAACAAAACTTTTTTTAAGTAGCGCGTTATTTTTAAGTACAGAATTAAATGCCTTTGAATGGTAAACGCATCTTCGTGTTAGCTTATGAAAATATTATCATATCAAGTTGCGTTATTAGTCAAATTAATCGTATTTACAAAGAATACATCCTTAAAGAAATAAAACAAGAGGAAGTTCTAATTTATATACTTTATAACAATACTATATACGGTTTCTTTTATTTTTACAACAGCAGCTTGAACACAAACACTCATTATCAAGTCAGGTAATTAATATGGCATTTAATACAGAGTGCTTGCTTAATTATTATTATTTACATGAAATTATTCTTTTATAGTATTTAGACAAGTATATTAACATTTAGTAGTATTTTTTTTGGGCAGGATTCTCAATTTTTATGCCGTGGCTTCGCCCCCTTTCCATACAATTATGTATGAACTGCAAAGCAACTGCAAAAGAATGAGATTGTTTTGCATAATTAGGCTAAGTTACTCCTTTTATGTCAAAAACGTGTTTAGTGAAAGTCTGTTGAAAATCGAACTACCCTCTTCGTAGATTGTCCGATAACAGACCGACAAAAAATTGATTCCAACAATGTTTATTTTCTAGATCTCTATAAAAGTGGACTGAAAATATAACTGATTAACTTGATGTCAAAGTTAGAGGTTTTAATATTAGAAATTAATCTCGCATTCAGGTCTAGATAACACCTTTCCAAAACCATTGTAATAGAATATTACATTCACCGTTAGTCTCAATGAATGTAAAACGATTTTTAATGTTCTATTCAATGCGAAAAATTTCGGACTTCTGATCTAATTGTGTCATTTATGATTAAACTTTTGACATGGTGTGCCGATTTGGTCAAAATGGTCTCGAAAATTTGCACTTTAGAGAGTTCTGAGAACTGTACTTAGGTGTACTTTTGGCATTTTCATAATGCGTAACGTAACGGCAACGTTTAAAGGGATAGTAAGTATGGAAAATGGGTCGCCTACAGATAAATTCGGCGTATTAGTGTCAGAGAAATAAGAAAGCTATATTTTAAGACTTTTTGATTTGTTTCATCTCTCCGTAACTCCACTTACACTCATACACTCTTCTCTCCACTCTCATTCCTGCTATCTCTGGATCTCGTGAAAAGCAACGGCAATGTCTTACAGGAAGTGTGCTTCTTGGATACTTCTGAGTGGTCAAGTTTGAGCAATAAGCTTGTGTGGTGATAAAGTTGGGGTTAGTTATGGACATACGGAAGTAACACATTACTCGTTTTTTTAAATACGCTTCTATGTAATATCCACTATCATTTACATAATACATCGTATTTAGTAAAAAGTCATCAAATATGAGTATTCGACCAGACACCACTGCATACCTACATATGACTCTATTAGTAGCACCAAATGAAAAGTGAACTCTTCTACAACTAAAAGGATAACAACTTTCCTATGAGTATTGAGAGCTATCATTATCATCATCATTTCATCCATTCCTCCACCATCCCTGCAGCAGGTGATCTACGAAATCATTACTACTTTAGTGACCAGACCTTATCTACCAATCTTACCAAACAAACAGTGGCTCGAAGAACTGCAGCACGATGACAAATCCCAGGGTCACGAGGATAAGACCCAGGTTCAGCAGCAGCATCAAGCAGCACATGCCCTTTACGTTAGGACAAAAAGGGTTTGGAGCAGCCATTGCGTCTACTTTCACTCCTGCCTGGAATCGTAAGAAATAGAGTTAAGGAGAAGGAGAAGAACTGAATTCCGAAGACAGATGAAAGGATGAACCGGATGCTTCTAACTCATGAGATATTCAAGAACAATTAGAAATATTAAATTAATTAACTTTAAAGTAATTTTGACCATAGCAAGCTATGTAATTGTAACAAATTTATATAAATAACAAAATTTATGGGTTACTCTGTAAGGGGATTCACTTCTGTTCTGTAAATTTTATAATTATATTAATTTCAGACCATTACCTTTCTGGAGACTTTGGATCTGTGTGTAGACGCAACAGATGGCGCCACAGCACTTCTATACGAGTAAACGCTTCGTGGCGCGCGTGACTGTCGGCTGTGATAAAAAACAAAAATATTTTTAGTAACCTAGGTACTTTGCAGAGTATAAATACACTTAATATAGATTAGTTAAGTCAAAAGTACAAAATCAAGAGAGTCGATCTCTCTCCCTTTAGTTTGTTGACAGGGACCTGGTTCATAACATCGTAGAGATGAGGTACGCTTAGGGTTGCCAGATGGTTGATATGAAATTTTGGAAATTTTATATCAGTTTTCGTATTTAGTAGTTGCACGTTTAAAATATTTTTTATAATAAAATGACTTGACATCTTACACGGCCTTCTGATCCCAAACTTGAGTCTGTACTATGGTAACCAGACTGCTAATAAACATTATTTTTAAATATATTTCTAAATATATTCATTTAATGGATGAACTACACCCAGACACAAAAATGATCGTTCTCATCACACAATATTTATACTCGTCGGAATATCTAACTTAGCAGTCAGGGTCGATTATCACAAGACTAACAGGTGTTAATTTTTTTTGAGAAAACTATCGGCTTTAATTATCGTTATTGTTTGCATGTAGCTATATATGGTATATATTATGGATGGAATAAAACCACAATCACATGTAATAAATCATTTAAAATGAATCACACCTGTGACTAATCTACAAAAACACTGTGACTTATGATAACGCACGACTCGCGTAGTCTAAATCTAAAATAAATACATACAGTGGAACACAGAACCTCCTCCTTTTTTGAAGTCGGTTAAAAAAAGGTCGTAGTGTTTGATAAAAAAAACAGTATATTTGTTTTTTCTTTGCTTCATTTGATGGCATTTATCTTTGTGTATGACCAAATCACAGTAGTAATTTATCACAGGTGAAATCGCAGTAACTAATAAAGTAACAATAATTTCCATCACTAGTATATATTTTATACATATATTGTTGTATTTCTGTGTTTTATAAAATTCAAGTCTTTTAATAAACCATAGAGTCCATAGACTATAAAACAATTTAGACACAATTCGTGACAGCCAACTTTAGTTACATCTGTGCGCGTACGGTGCAAAGCGTCCGTGCTTCTCGTTATAATCTGACTGCACGTGTGTCACGATTGTCATAAACCTAATATTGCAGAGCCTAGTAGTCAGGTTATATACCTGCCTATGTTAGGTGTCAAGGTCAATAATAAGAAGAAACTGAAAAATGAGGAAAAGTCTTAATACTTTTGAAGTATTGAAGTCGCTCGAAATTCTTTTATGGAATACTTATTTTCTATGTACACTCGAATAACAGTAGTGCGAGTCGCTCATTAACGACAATATACCTCTTTTTTTTCGTTCGGAAATCCCTACAGAACCCTCCACCCGACGACCGGTGGGATGGTTATGTTAGACTTGAACCGACTAAAAGCCACAGCCGTCTCAGGGTACCAGTAGTCAGAGAACCTAGAAAAAAATCTCTGGTACCCTGACGGAACTATACCCCTCTCGGAGCTCTTACGAGTTTACTTAGGGTTTGAAAATTAACACAACCTAGTGCGGAATAAAAGCAGTCCTGTGATGCTCTGAGGTGTTTTTCCAGAAAATATTTGTGTAAGAACCCTTTGGAATCAATATCCCTTCTAACCTTTCTAAACCTATATCTAAGTACTGACAAAGATACAGGTTACAACATAAAGTTTGGATAACAATTGTGTGATTCCAACTTTACTTTCGACGTAAGTAATTAAATAAATGAAAATAAGTAGTGTGCATGTAACATTTCTTACTATAATTCTGATAAGTAATTGAAAACATACAAGAGTATAACATGCTACTGTACGGCTAACATAAATGACGATAAAAAAATACCTTTTGACTCGTAACAGCCTTTTTTAATACAGACACTTCAAAATACTGTCCACTCATGATACTCACGGCTTATTTAATATAATCAAAATCTTTTTTAACCCTCTAGGTACTTTTTATAATAGTTCTCCAAATATTTATTCGTCCACGGTGACTAAGGGTTTCAAGCCTTGTTACAGAGTTTTTCGAACAATTTAATTCCAAACTTTCTCTTTAAACTGTCAACGATTAAAAAAAAAGTGTTGAAAGGAATGCTTTATTTTTTTAATCCTCAAAAAGACATTTTGACAGCTTGTTTAGATGCCAGGAGTGCACTTGACGGTTTTTCAAAAGTATTTTTTTAAACGTATTAAATGAGCTGTGAATTCGTGACGTCCAAATTCCAAACGAACTAACAAAACGACCGACGTTCGGAATCAATTTACTTTTTATACAATATCAGGTCAGTATTACAATAGACAGTTTCGTTTAAAAACAGGTGTTACAAAGAAAATATTTTGATGGTGCATGGTCGTATTATTCTTTAGTTGCGTAACTAGATGGGGACATCTTTCGCACCGACCTTGATTCGATTATAACAATCGAATCTTGAATCGATTCAGAGATCGTGACTAGATTTGATGTCTACGACACAATTAACCTATTAAATGTGACCTGATTTATTTAGACACTTGTTGACTAGTTATCAGTTAAGTTTAAATATTAGGCACACTTAATAATATAAATATCATAAATGTTTACTCTTCATCAACCGACTTCAAAAATTTGATTTGTATTGTTTTATGTTTTTTACCTCATACTCGTAACATAGAGCAACACAACTCCGGTCCGCCGGTGGCCTGAGTTGCTCTATGCCTCATAACTCCGTTATTTACAAACCGATTTGGAAAATTTTCTTATGTGTTTTCGAAGCAATTACAGAGTGTAGGAAACAGCTACCACTTATTATGATGTAGGCGCGTTGGAGTCGGTGTATTTTTTAAAAGTAAATTACTTGATACAAGATTTTCCCGCGGCTCCTCCCGCGTGTAAGTCGGTTATCGCGGTAAAAAGTCAGTACAAAGATACAGGTTAAAGTTTTTTTTACCGACTTGAAATATGGAGGGGTTCTAATTCGGTTTTAATTTTGATATTTCGTGTCATCTCAGAACACTGTAATTACTGAACTAATTTGGAATTTTTTTTTTTGTTTAGAAGGGAATACTTGGTATACATTCAAAACTATGAAATGAAGAATACAGTTAATTCAAGCCATTATCGCATTAAAGTAGATTTTTAATTTTTAAACGTTAATTATTCAGAGTGGAATTAAATTTGTAGGTTAACATTTAATTTTATTCCCTTTCAACCTTCTTGGACGCTACTAGTTGGCGATGCGGATGAATTTTATGATGCTTGACAGCAACGAGCTTGTTATTCCTGAGTTGCAGGTGTTCATGGGCTTCTTCCATAAAAAAATAAGACGGGCGTGTGTAAGAATTGTTATAATTCTACCATAGAGAGGTACTTTCACTACTTTAAACGAGAAAGCCCACCACAAAATTATTTCCATTACATAACACGATATTGGTATTTGCGTCCTTCTGCTCCCCATAATATGAGTTATTTCCTCTAGTTAAATGCGGCGCGAACAAGTCGGTGATTCTTCAAAGAACAAGTCATGTAATTAAATTATTGAAAATGTGAGCTTTATCGTGAGTAATATGGTTTTGTATTAATGTCCTAAAGAAAGGAAGGGCTGGCAGATTGAGTTTAATAAGTGGATTTTGAAATTTTATACAAATGCATTTAAATCTGAGGCGAAAGAAACAAAGCACTCTGATCGACAGTAAGCGAACATCGATGTCAGATGTTGTCAGTCGTACGACAGTCTTATTATGAAGCCCTAATGTGTACCTGCCATATTGGTTACTATTATAATATAGAGAACAACTCTACATGGTGATCCTGATCTCATAAGGATTCCGTTTTCATTTCATTCTGTTCAGGCGCCGGGTAGGCTCTCAATTTGGCCATAAGACATCACTAAAATAATAATAATATCAATGAATTTTACAGCTATTGAAATGTTATCATAGGTCCTCTTGACCATCCAATTAAGCTGAATGATTGTATTAAGAGTGGGTACATGACGATAGTGCCCTAGGTGAGATTGGAACTCGCAATCAATTGATGTGAGCCAAACAACTTAGCCATTACGGTACTATTGCTTTATGATATAAGAAAATAAATATATCCCGGAGCGACAACCCTAATTCTCGGCGCGTCAAGGACGGGCGTAGAAAGTAAACCAAATTCGTTGCGGTCAGGACACTGCCTCTTAATATTTGAAGTTTTTCTCATTTTTTTTATTAGTGACCAAGCCTTTTATGTGCTGAACCGAATTATGCTTTTTGTCCGATGATGTGACGCATCTACTGTTGATTTAAAGTGAATGAATTTTGAAGTCTTTCTCACGGTCGAGTTGGCCTGTTTTTGATTTCTGTAGAATGCTTGTTTGATTATATCTGAGCTGAGAACAGAAGTGTTATAACGATAAGAATGCGCTGACTGATGTTGAGAAAAGCGTTTTCTCATTATTCGGGTGTACAATGGAAAGGTGTTGAATGTTTAAATAATTAAAATGCACAAATATTTAGCTACTATCCAATCTTAGCCGTAGGACATGTATTTCTGCATAGAGTCTATAATAACAGGTAAACTTTTGCAGGGACATCAAAGGAAGGAGAAAAATAATTGCTCATAATAAATTGTAACGATAACGACAACTTTAAAAAGGTAATAAAAATATCTAATCTGACAGCAAATCTAAATAAACCTAAAGTATAATTACACAATCACAAAAACAAATATATATATTTTTATAACTTAAATTGAAGAAACAGAGAATATTACATAACTTGGCTACCCTTGACACACATTGTAATTGGAAAGCACACATTCATACTGTTTGTACACGTGTTAATGTGTTTGATTGTGCACTCGGCATTCTTACAAAACAGGTAGCCGTATCCTTCTACCACGGATACGTTGCTTCCGTGCTTGGATACGCTTTTAATATAATGGAATAATACGACAGATATAAATGTATTTATAAAGTTTTATCGAGACAATATGTGATGGTCATTTGTGGTAAAAATAACAATTTCCCTATAGTACTCTTCTGATTATACAAAATTGTCATGCT